TTCAACTTAAAAATAACTTTTCGGATAACTCAAAGGCAGGTCATAGATGCAGCAGGTGTGGTGGTTTCGAAGGGTGCGCATGGTCACAAGCACAATTTTGGCCATTCCACATGGTGCTGCAGCGAGACCTGGAGGGAAGGGGGAGTGGGAGAAGGGAAGAGCGATGGAGAGGGACGCCATTCACTAATAGAACTAACCATAAGATCAAAATTACTGCTTAGGCATAGCTTGATTGCAATAAGCCCCCCCCCTACTATAAAATACACCAATTGTGCATATGTGATGCGCATCCACTTCACGACGTGTTGACGTCACAGGTGAAAAGTCAACACAGTGGAAATTGATCTTACAAAGGATAAAGGATAAAGCATTTGCCGTTGATCAATCCCTTTTTGGGATGCGGCACGCATCTCTACTTGTACATTCGTAGTGGCGTTTGAATGCGATGTGGCCTATACAATGACTTGCGGGGGCCAGCCGATGTACAAGTCAGTGTTTTTATCCTCCCAGACAAGTCTGGTACCAATTAACCGACCCCGGAGGGATGGAAGGCTTGGTTGGCCTGGGCGACTCACGACCCAGGATTTGATCCCCGGACCGCGCGCGTGGTAAGCGTGCCACTTGGCCACTACACTTTCGCCCCACAGAGAAAGGGATGCCGAGGGATAAAACTGGATAGAGGCTTTTGAAGACTAGAAAATAGTTAGTAAAGCTTCTTTGATATGTGCACCACTCGTTCAATTTTACCTTTTATTAAAGAATTATAGCAGGCAATTCTTACTGCGATATAGGTCTATTGAATAACTTACGCAGCGCGAAGCACTCGCTTGCTATTTTCATAACTCGGAACAAGTCATGCACTAGTTAAACTTACCCTGGAAGGATGTATCAGATGGATGAACCACTACAACAATAAATACAGTGCAAACTCCTGATCTCCTCAAGCAACCCCTTTTTGGCTTACCATTTCTTAAACTAAGCCTTCCAATTGCGAACAGTCCAATGCAAATGTTCGCGTCGGGGTTTCCTCGGTGGACTTGAACCATTCTTTTCTTCTCTGAATTAACACCTATTACCTTCAGTTCAGTGAACAGACCTCCTTCAGTAGTACAATTATATTTCTTACAGTCAAGCGCGCCTATGAGTTGGAAATTAGCTTTCGACTTCGGATGACAAGATGAGCTCAACCCGTTGGACACGAAGAGTCAGCTCAAAATGAGTTTATCTCGAGTGACTTTTCGCACGACCTTCCATAGAAACATCCTTCAACTTGAAACTAACTCACACTGATATGAACATCAGTCGCGTGTCATTTGTGAACAACTCTAAATCGTATTCCAAAACAAGGAAAATGATTAAAATTAATCGTTCCATCCATCTGTGTCTGACTTTTCGTTGAAGAGTTATCGCTAAAATTCCCGCTAAAAATTAAAACTCAACTTTAACAGTGTAGGACGTTATGTGCGAGATTTATATTGTGAAATTTTACGAGATGTACACCTTGGTTACAAGGCTTCTGTCAACCAAAGGGTGAGAGCGTAGCTGGAAAAGCACACACTTTGTGTCTTATTGGGACTAAGCCTTTTGAAGAAGATAAAGAAAGAGGAGATGCTGTGATAGTGTGCACTTGTGAGAGCTCCCAGACATCACTACAAAACGCTGAACCGCCAAGGCTCACGGTTGACAGATGTCCTGAGACCTACACCTAGTTTCCCGTGAGTGTTCTTGTCGTAATTGCTACCTTTCTTCACAATTGTTTTCGATGAGTTGCTCATTCTCCATCGTCAAATGAATTTCAGGCCTATTCAGAGAAAGGTGAAGGGGGATGTGGTGCAAATACTCCATTCCGCTCACGATAATCGCTATTCTTGCGAAGAAACGAAGCTCCGGGGTCGTGAAAGTGGAAGCGAAATTATTCACGGATTTCCCGGGGATTTACCTGCTCGTAAAAACTATAATTATCATGTGTTGCACGGGTTATCGCATCACATGCCCTCAACTTGTTTGCTAGAATAGGCCGTGAATTCATTTTCATCAATGTCAACACACCTGCCATCCAAAAGTAACAAGAACATTGAAAAATCTTACGTGATGTAGATTCTTTAGGGCAATCAGCACATGTGTCAAAAGTTCGCAACTGCGGCAGCCAGGCCGCCAATGCATGTGCCTGCCGTTCCGTCAAAGCTGCATCATTTTGCTCAAAAAGCTGGTTTAAGCATAAATAGCATAGCTATCTAAACGGATTTCAGAGATTTTACTGCAGAACTCTCAGGCAATGCTGAAGAATTCTAACGCCGACAATTCAACTCTACCCGTCTCCACATCCCACTGGTTCCATTTATTGGAGTGTCAGGAGGGCTTCTGGCTCCAACCTTTCTGGCGCCATTCTCTACTTTGTTTCTTATTGGCAGGACTGGGTTTAAGCACGTCCCACTCTCCAGTATGATTTTATTATACGAAAATCCTGGCAGTCCTTACAAAAAAGTATCTGCTAAAATTTCAATTTTGCTGATCAAAAAAGTAAACGCCTACCAAGTGCGTGGCGTAAAGAAAGGGAAACAAGAAGCTGTTGAAAAATCAGAATATCGTACGAATATCACTCTAATAGCTGCCACTTGATAGATCGTCTAAAAATATATACGGCACGACAAGTGTGAGAAGCACTCACATCGGAACCTGAGTTATAATAACAACAGTGCCTAATAGCCTCAATGCTGCTGCTACTAGCGCTGCCTTGGAAATCCTACACATGTATAGCTGCCTGGGTATAAAGCGGAGCATTCATTGCCGTTGCAGCATATGTGTAACCCATTGGTGCCACTTCAAAACACGTGAACACCTTCACGTTAAAAGTTAGAAGCGAATGGAAGTCGTGAAGATTGTTAAATTTTCAAGCCTGAGTAAAAAGTTTGGGGTTCTGTTTAGAACGAAGCTCTGGCATAAGAGATCGACTGGAATGCAAGCTCAGAGCATGTTTCCATTTGACGCCAGTTTGACGCCACAACTTAGAGGCTTCGAAGCGGGCGGTAAGGGCCTAATAAGATTTCACCTGGCTCCGCCACCACCAACACGCACCTACAAATGCTAAGCTATTTATGTTCGTCTAGTGCGCTACTTGCGAAAGCAGGGAGAGGAATGGATTTCTTCTTGCCGCCAATTTCTTCGCCGTTTTTGCTGTTGATGTATACAAGTCGCAGTTGCAGTATCGTTACAAGGGTGACATATTACACCACGTCCATTCCGGCTTTTGATTTAGTTGGGTAGTTGTGCAAAGTTGAATGCTAATAGTGATGTTCTGTAGCAGGTTGGCGGTTCTATAGGTCGGTAAGCAATAAATCGACAGAGAAGGATGGAAGACCGTGGTTCGGCTTGAACGGCAAATTGCGGCTACGGGATTTGGCCTCGTGCCGTGCACTTTGCGGCGTGTAGCGCTGCTTGCTACTAAACCGCTTCAGCCCTTGTCGCATCATTAGCTGAGTGTAAGTGCCATCGATAAGGTCGAAGAACTATCGACACCATCCCCTCTCAAAGCCTGAGTATGAGAGGAGCCAGACAACACTTTGGCTTTTGTTTCCAGAATGATTATGGAGTGATAAGGTTGTACTACAGGATTGTTCACTTAATACTAGAATTGACTCGAAGACAGTCAGCAATGCTTTGGGAGGACGTGGCAAACGTTTCGTGCCTTATTGCTGTGCCTTTACTGAGGTTTTGAAGTTTTTATATTGTTCTTGGTGCTTAGCCTAATATTAGAAGGATTATTTGACACCAAAACATTTCCTTTGGTGGGCTCATGTCTTAGGCCTGCGGAATTGAAGTGAGCAGGGCCACTGAGTTAGATGACCTGAGCCTTACGGAGGAACGGCTGTCCTCTGGACGAGCGGACGTGCAGCCACAGCTGAACAATCCGTTGCCAATGAGACAGACGCGGAACCCTCCACGATCGGTGTTGCAAGTTTTTATTTTCCCACGATCTGACCTTCTCGCCATAGTTTTGTCTAGAAGGTAGGGCCGCTGTACCATGCGAATAGGCGCCTTCTGCTTTAAGCCAAGTCCGCGAAGAGCGATGTTCTTGAATTCTTTATCAGTGTTGTCAGCATTTGTTGTATACGCTTCGGTGCACAATTTGGCAATCGTTGGAAAACGCAAAGGACGTCGTAAATCGGTACATTACCTTACTATTGTCTCTTAGGTTCCATTCGAACAAGAAGATCGTTAAAAGACGGAAGTTGCGCTGGACCTGCTACAAAGTGAAACGAACGTAGTCGGTTCAGTGGCTAGCCGCCCTGCCTCGCCAACGGAGCCCCTGCCCCCTACCCTACACGTAGTTGCAATCAGTAACGTAAACCTTTCGCCCACTCATATGAGTTTAAGGTCGAATTCCTCAGCGGCCATGGACCAGTGATCGGGACCGGAAGCTTGTTGTGACGATAATGACATGGTAGTACGGAATCACGTGTTCGAACGCCACGTAGGACGTCGAACAGGGATCCACTATCAAACTCCGATGAGGTGGACCCGTAGTCCTAACAACGCCGATTGTGTCGCTCCGCAAACCACTTCCGGTCCGAAACTGGTTCATGGTCCGTGGAAGATTACTTTAACTTGATAAGCACTACTAAAGGCATAGTCCATGGTCCGGGCCAAAGCCTTATTTCGTAATTTGAACCACTTCAATAGGGCTTATCACCAGCGCAAAATCGTAACAGAAAGACAGCCGTAATCTGTGATGATGTGATAAATCTGATCCATTTTGCTTAACAAGTTGCCCACATCACGCATGCGTTCCTAACGGCAGCTCCCGGTAGACTACAACCGTCCCTTCCCACTTATTCACATTCATATCGGGGTGAGAAGGGATAAGTTTTGATCGCCATTCCAGTGCAAAAGGGTACCAGCTTTTAAATGGGGACTGGCATGACTCTCGTAAGTGCGCCGATTCTCGCGAGAGAGTTCTCTTACCATTAGCTCGAGACACAAAACCAAAACAATCTTTAAAAATGACTCGAGAAGCTCAGCGCGGCTTCAGAGGCTCCTATGCAAAGGTTTGACCCTTCCTCTAGGCACCCTCCCATTCAGCCACTCTTGTTACGGTACGAGTGTGAATAACATTATCATAGTCAATGAATTCGCACGTTTATTTGGTTTTTCTTCAGGGAGGAAGGTCAAAAAAGAAGGGGTCATCCATCGGTGAGTGATAAGTTATACTGATTAAGACTTCAACTTAGAAAATTTCTATTCCCAAATAGCAGAGAGTAACAAATGGTCAGATCTGAACGTTGACCGAGATGATCAGATGGAGGATACTTTCGAGTTTCATAAGCCCAAGATAGAAGAGGCGAAACGAGCCAAAGATGTGAGTTGATGATCATTTTTGAAGTTATGTTCAGGATTCAATATTTATTAAGGTTTATATTTGGACAAGACGTATCTTCTTTACTATAGCAGCCTAACCCACTTCCGCAAAAACGACCCCTTCTACTTCCACGAATATGACCTCCTTTCTAGCTTTCGACCCTCGCTACCCCAAATTACGATCCCCGTTGGGAAGGGCGTAGGGGTTTGGGTTGAGGGCCTGCGTGAGAGAAAGATATGGTACATATCCCAAATTGCAGAATAAAAATCGCAAATAGACGAAAGCCGAGAAACGCGTTCAGCTGCATCATGCTTCTCATATCTGATGCTGTTGAAGCTCTAACAAGGCACTGGTCAGGTGGCGCTCTCGGCAGAATTAATCCTACGTTACGGAGTTTCAACGGGGGGCCTTGTTTGAGTTTTGTGGATGTGAAGTCGTACTCATGGAATTTGATGGGGTCGTGGTTGCGGGAGACGCGAAGGGTTTTTGCCAATCTTTACGGAGGTTCTTGCAAAAAGCATGAAGTGGAGAAATTGGTGGCTTCTGTTTCCGGTTCTTCGGTAGATTGAAATATTTATCACTCCCTCTTCCGCCCCCCCCCCTCCCGCGCTCGGTGGCCAATTTTGAGGTGAGGTGGGCAATTTTGGACTGTGTTGGCTGTTCTCAGAATCAAACACTATGGGAACAACCTTGGTGGGTTTGCCGGAGGTGGGGAGAGGGGTCGTGGGGCATGCCTATAAGGCTGGTGGTGGTGATGGATGATCGTGTCGAGACCTCCTTGTGATTGGGGGGTAGGGGTCATCAAATTTCTGGAATTGGAATAACGTATAACTTCGTATAAAGTATGCTGGCCAGAGTCAACCCTGCGTTGCGCAGTTCTCAACGGCCACGTTGCGCAGTTTCGCCCGATTAGACACGTTCTCTCGCGCGAACATTCACACTCGCATGCTCGAGCCGTCTGCGTCTCCGCCCATACAGCGTGCGTTGAGGATCTCTCAACGTGCCGTTGCGAACTGCGCAACGCAGGGTTGACTCTGTTGGGACCATGCCCTTCCAGCTCAGCTTTTCATGGCTGATCGTGTCTCGAGAGACCTCCTTGTGACTGGGGGGGTAGGGCCTCAAATTTCTGGAATTGATAACGGATGTTAACCATGCCGTGACACAAGCGCACAAAACTGGACCGCTTCGCCACGTGCAACGATCGCAATCATTCTCCTTCTATGTCAGTAACCTCTGAGCCTGCTTCCCCTCCAGTAACTAGCCGAATTTCCTGATTTCCTCAATGAAATCTTTTTACTTTGTGTTCTCTCGTTTATTTACTCTTTTTCTTTCTGAATCTGTGCGATTGAAGATCAAAGACGCGAAAGCTTTCAATGCTGGTGACTACAAGACATGGAACAAATTAATGAACGATGACAATGACTTTGAAAAACCAATCCAGAAGGATGGAGACAAACCTTCAAAGTGAACGACGAGCTGAACAGTGACATATTAACTAGTTGAAACTAGAGAATACAATGCATAGACCGAATAGTCACAATAACCCAGTTACACGTTTTGTTTTTTCGACGATTGATTCAGAAATCTTAAGTGACCATTTTTAGTATTCAATGTGATTTTCCTAAGAACAAACTGCCAAAAAAATGAGTCTTCAGGAATTCAATAAGAATCCATTCGCCGTAAAGCACCTACTTTATGTCCCTAACATTTTGGAGCAATTGTACCAAAAGCGCTGGTGTGAAAGAAATTATAGTTATAGTTATTATGTGTTGCACCAACCTCGGGTCTGGGTTCACACGGAAAGGTCAATTAAAGGCACGAGTCGGGATCGAGTTGAGGTATTTTTGTGCTTGAAAGTGAGTGCAGAGATGCGAAATGGAACCCCAGTGAAGAAAAAAGTGGAGGAAGCCGTCGACAAAACCGAAAATAAAACCTCTCCCCAACACGGGGAAGGAGGTTGGCTTAGGAGGAATGCATGTCTGAACGACTTTTCGAGCATGCAACCACTGCCATTGCTGGCTCCGTGAAAGCGGCTGATACGGCAATCAACCCAGCTGATTTCACGCGTTATGCCAGCCACGCACCACTTCCGGCGGTGGGCGGTCATAGCTCACGTGGGTACCCGACAAGGGGCCCGTCGCGCGGCAACAAGGCAGAGTCAGCGGACGAGTCGCAGCGCGTACTGTAGGATTTCGCGTCAAGTTAAATAGAATGTACCATTGTACGTCCTACATCGCACATCACGCGCTGCAACTCGTCCGCTGACTCTGCCTTTTTGCCGCGCGACGGGCCTCCTGTCGGGTACCCAGCTCACGTCGTCCAAATGCTATGCCAGGGTTGTGATATGCCGCGCGGTTTCAAGTCACGAGAGCGGCGTCACCTCTATGGTTGCAGACCCAGTCATAGTATGGACAGAGCGGGTTCCTTTGATTGCCTAATCCCGACCAGTGCCTTTAATCAGTCCGGTCATGCAAAATGAGATGTAGGCTTGCCTCGACACACTGAATTCTTTAGTGCGGGTCTTTACTTTTGCTCATTTTAGAAATACAACAAGAAAACTTTTAACATATTTCTGAAAACAGTACAAGTACAGACTCACATGCGAGTCGATACCACGACCTCTTACCTGTGAGTATATATTGTAGTTGGCCAAACTGCGCCAACATAACCTTGTCCTTGTTTAAGGGCACATGGATCCTTGTTATTTTCTCTCCTTTTCACCTTGTTATCGTTTTTCCCAATTTCTGATTCATTCCTTTTAAGATCGCCTTTCACAGACTGTAATCTACGAGTGCAGTAGTAATACGTCTCTGGAGATTTTTGGAATTACAGAAAGTTTTTTCTGAAACCACAGAATTGCGAAGAAGAATTCAAATGCACAATTTGTTTAGTTACATTCGTGAACAAGATCTTGTAAGATGCTGATTTTTGCAATGAACACAACCGTACTATTCAAAGTGAGGGGCTTTATTAAATCACACTAAAAAAAAACGGGAGAAATTCCCGCGACCTGAATACCACACCTTGTAAACGAAAAAAGAGGGGCACGTTCAAACTGCCTTGAGCATAGAGAACTTGGACAATCAGTCATCATTGCTCCCAAGAGATAGGGAAATAATTGAGTATTTCAGACAACCACACGAGTATAAAGCAACAACAAAACAAAAACTGCGGCGTAGATCCGACAAATTCATGTATACTTCCCCTCAGGAGGAATACCCCCAAATTTCAATATCAAGGACCCCATATAAATTCCTTCGTTACTTTCTGGATCGATTCCTTTTCCAATGTTGCAAACGTTTATAGGGCATTTTTAGCACATCTAGGTCTTAACCTGGAAAAAACATCCCAAGTTGAAATTTTGGTAAAAAAGGGAAAGGGGGGAAAGAAGAATTAAGGTTGGCCTGTAGTGAACCCGTTATTATTTGGTCTTTTTCGGACGGCATCCCAAAATATTGCGGCCCTTTTTTTATTTGCTTTTTCAATCGGTCCATCACTGGAATGCATGTTGGTGCAAAGATGAGAATCAAAATTTAAAAAACCAAAACATAAAAGCAGTCCGAGGCACCGTCACATCGAAAGAAAATGGAGTTTCAGGTTTTGAAAAATTTGATTAGACTTCACTTACGGTCCCCCAAAACAAGCACCACGGCCCCTTGAACAAGAGTGAACATCGAAGCGAAAACATTGTTTTGCATTTCAAATGTGGGATGAGACAAGGAGACATCTTAACGTCCGTCCGGACCTTATTCTTTAATTGCGTTTCTGTGCTTTGTCTTCTGTCAAATCCGAGGTTTTAGGTTGACCAAATTATTACTCACCTCAAATCTACTAGCGGCCTAAATAAGGCCCAAGGCCGTTAATAAATTTGTCACCTAAAAACCTCGTTGGCAGAAGAAAAACACAGAATTCAACAACGATGCCGAGGTTCTATGAAGAGAGAACTTGGAGACGATCTTAATTGCATTTGAAGAGCAAGTAAATGTTTCGCTGCAATTGCTGCAATGTGACTCTTGCTAAACTGGGCTCTGTTTCTTCAGACATTACTTGAACCGATACTTTTTGAATAGTCGTTGCTGAGGTTCATCTTTCGCCATGACGGTGTCCGGACTACTTTCCTTGACGTGATGTGCAGGAGATGTGGAAGCGAACCTACCTTGTCATCGGCCGGCAAAGCCATGAACTGCTTCGGAAAAAGGATGCCGCACAAGGAGAGCTAACCCTGCATTTGGCCGAAGAGATCCATGCGAACTGTCTCGAGTACACAAATACAGACCGAGACTGCTGCCATTTCAATTTGGAGACATTTCAAAAGAACGACTTCGAGAACATTGCCAGCTTCAGCTGTTGTGCCCATTTCAAAAGTTCCTGAATTTATTAGAAATTAAGTGCAGTTCTTGGTTGATCAGTCAGCCCTTAGCACTCACCATGTACCGTAAATCAGTGGTGATCGCAGACACTGCTGCCATAACATTCCCTTTGTAGCTCCGTTCCTTCGAACGAGCTCGAACTCGCTTTTGACTTTCCCAGCTTTTTACTACTAGTGAATGGGCGCCGCAGCTCACACAAACATATTTGACCACAGCTGCAGTTCCAACTGCTTTTAGTTGCGTTTTGCCAAGACGATTTCCACATTCCGGGCAGAAGCGGAACAGCTCATCAGCTTTTCCCCTTCCACAAAATAATATCTCTGCAGATCAGCTGACTTCTGTCTGTACAATATGGTGCGACTTCGCTATTGAGCTGCACTCTGACCCGCTGTGGTTGTGTTCGCACTCGGCCACCTAAAAATAGTTTTAGAGGCAGCAAAATAGTGAACGCTATGTTTAGGAAACCTTTGTGCCCTCAGTAGATGCCACATCATGAAAGAAGGATCGGCATCGATTATCGCGTGCATCGAGATGCTTGCAGTACATTTACCTCTATCTACCGAAGATCGCTTCGTGTCGGCCTCAAGTCTGGTAACAACGCAACGCCGACTACACTTTCAACTCGAGCACATCTCCGTCGCCGTAGCTCTTAGCATGCACGTCTTCGCTTCCGCACCGCACAGGCCTCCGTTTCTTTCTGGTACGCCACAATTACGATATCTAGATTTACTTATGTAGGTTATGAACACGCCGACCGCACAGTAAATATCGTGGCGCGGACTTCTCCGCGCACACGACCTTCTGCGAGTAGTCATGAGAGCTTTTGTCTTCCACTGAGACAATAACTGATTGCACTCATCAATCTAACACACGCCGTTAATACACATCGCAGTCGCTGAATCAGGCTACTCATTTCGCTCTTTCCCGCCGAATGATATCTGCATCCTCACATAAACGAGGAGGCAATGACCTAAAAGAACCTCTGAGAGGCGTTTTAGAAGAGAGTATGGCATCAGAGCTAGCGGCAGTGCACTCATTTCTCTCTCCGACACGCACTGAGTTCTGCCTTCAGGGTCATGTCCGAGCCAGGCGGATTCATCAGTCGCGATCTGAATCGTTGCTGGGAAAATCGGCGCTAATACCGAGTAAGTCAGACTGCGAGTATACACGATCAGCAGTTTCCTCAGGCGGTAGCAGAGGAGATCGATTATCCTCAAGAACCTCGTCGCAGTAAGCGCTTCGTCTAGTCACAGCTTCCGAGGCCAGAAGTAATTTGACGCACCTCTCCGCAATGTCTCTCGCACGCACTGCGCCTGGGCAGGTACACCCTCTGGGCTTGCTTGCCATGTAACCTTCTTGCAACGTGAGCGCATATCATTTATGAACGAGAGAAACGCGTTCTGCAATGGAGATACCCCGACTACATCTACAATACTCACGGGGCGTCACATCTCTCTGAAGCACTGTGATGCACACCAACCCGCAACACAGCTCTTAAAATTTCGATACTTACAGTGCTGAAAGTCAAACCAGAGACATTAGACCTCACTTTGCTCAGTCCATTGATCTCTTCAACAACGTGTGGCGGAACATCTGCAGTCGTGACATATGCACTACTTTTCCCCACACAAGGATCTTCGTAATACGAGAAGCGCCTTCCACTTGCTATCAGCTCAGCACATAGGTATTGAGCCTGTTTAGTAGAAACAATATTGCCGCAGAGGCATAAAAACTAATAAAATCGCTTGAAACTTACCGCTGCACTGCATGGACAATGGCAAATATATATGGTATTCCTGTTGATCTGTTCCACTACAGTGTCAACACTTGCCTTGTCCACAACAACAATCAACGCAAGCGACTGCGCATAATAACAAGTTTCGGGTTTTTGGGTGAAGGATACCAACCTCTCATAGCTCTAACGTTGTCGATTTGGCAGCAATCATCAGCACGGATCGTTCTCATTTTGGCACCAAAAATCAAAATTTCGTACAGTAACAGTGCGACAAACGTGCACTCTCCTCCTCGGCTTCTCAAGCGCAACAGTCGGACCAGCAAGGCAAGGTGGTAGGCTTTGCTCGAGCATTGCGCGAATCGGCGAAGTGTGGCTTTGCCGCAGCGCATTCAACAGAAGCAAATTGTGGATGGTCCATGAATAATGGTTCAAATAGATGAATCACCACCTTGCCTAATCTAATACCTAAATCGCTCTCAGAACATAGAAGTGACAGGTACATATCCTCCATTTTTACACCAAAATTGAAATGAATAGCCGAAAACTACAGATAAGATTCGCATAATCTGTCGATCTTGCGCCAGATCCGGCCGCGCCGTGCGATTCCGCAGTGCGCTCCAACAAAGTTTGACGCAAGCAGCCGCGAGCAACAAACCTCTTCAAGCAAGTTCTTTCCGACAGCTTTACAACTATTAAACTTATCCCACCGAACGTTAACAACGACGATTACCCCCAACTAAACGCAGACACGATAAGAAAGGGAAAATTTTGACAGAAGAAATGAACAAAATTAAGTGATGGCTCGAATCCACTGGTTCAATCACTTGACAGCTCGGTCCCAGAAAACCCGGAACACTAGACGAAAAAACTCGGCCCCAAAAATCAGTTGACCACACTAGAAATAATCCATCTGCCTTGTGAGTTGATTAAGATGCTAACTTATTCAAATATCGTTTTTCAGCTTCCCACTTTTTTTGGCAGATTTCCAAAACAAGAAGTTCAATGTTTCTCTCGCCATAACAGGGGGCAATGCTGAAAAGTCATTTGGTCTCCACTCCGATTGGATTTAAAACAGCTTGCTACATAGATTCAAGGGTGCATCAACATTTACACACAAAAAAAATTTAAAGAGAATTCGCGAGGTGTCCGGAAACAGTTACCGGTCCAAAAAACACGGTCGCGCTCATATAGAGCCGCTTCGGACGGGTTGGTGTGCCACAACGAAGTTTTTTGAAAAAGCTGATCAGATTTGAGCGAGGTTGGCATAGACAGGCAGAACCTGATAACTCTAGGAAACAACAGTGACCGCACTTAAAAATATGTAGGAGCTCCAGACACAGCAGCTACTAGTATTTCCTCGCTGAGCTGGACGATGATGGCGTCATTTTCTGGTAGAGGCAGTGAGGGAGGGCTTACGGCTACTAACAGAGGGACATTTGAGGAATATATTTCCGAGGAACTTCCGTCAACGACGCCAATCTTGCGACGAAAAAAATGTGAAGTGCGACGCAGGCAAAGTGTCAACGCTTTTGCCCGGCCCCCACGCACCCGTGCCGTGCGTAGCTTGCTCAGGCTCTTGTAGTCGCTGAGCACAGCACACACTGTCCTCCAGAATGCTAATTTTGCAGCCTAATAATTCATTCTTTAGACCATTAGCGTTCAAGAACTCCATTGACTCTGAATGGAAGTCAAATGTAAGGCGCATCGCCAGAAAAAAAATCTCAAAAGTCATTGTTTGCCTTATTCATGTATGCTAGGTAGTTATTCGTGGACGGCACTACTTCCCGATGTTCTCCGTCTAACACTGGATTCATAAAACAGTTTCGTCAAATGAAGCGCAAGGCGATACTTCTCCGATAATGATCAATCAAGCAATTTTTTTCAATTCGCCGATAAAATCTCAGATATGAGCGATTGGAACACGTCATGTTTCCAAATAAGTAAATATCAAAAAACGGCTATGATTGATGATTCTAAACCGAATTGCTTCTTAAGAAGCACTTAATTCATTGCTGTCAAAAATGGTTTTATTGGAATTTACCATGATACATCCACCAAAATTTTAGAACCAGACTCGGTCTCTTACGCAAAATACCTTTTCGGATGAGCCACGCACTCGACCTCCATTCAAAATCGTGCAAGCAGTTGAGTATGCATTGCGCGTATACCCTGACTAGCATATTTATCCGATGCTGAAGTCGGTAAATCCACTATCTCGAACTGATATGCCATCAGTCAACGACAGAAAGGAAATATTTAAGTTCGTTGTTTCGGAGTGGTGGACCTGAATTTGTTCGCCTGTCTGAGCAGCTCCTCCACTAGCTTGTCACCACTTTTCCAACACATACTCCAAATTGAAACAGTAAAGAATAGGGTGAGGGTCTTGAGCTCTCCCTCTCAGTGCATACACAACATGTGTGGTTTCCACTCACAAAGTGCCTGAATGCGTAAAGGTTTTAGAACCTCTTTGATGAATCAGGTACAGATTTTCAGGGTAAGTTTAGGACAGCCACCGAACTGAACACGTTTGCTATTCTTTGCCCAGAGAAGAGGAATAAAAAGTCCCCTTGAATATATATTTGTTTCAAACAACAGTTTCTTTACTTCTGGCATATGCTTATTTTTGCAAACACACAATTTCAGATAGGGCCTTTTTAGGGTGATCTAGGCTCGAAAGAAAGGAACTTAGAGGTACTGGATAGCATACGTCTTTAGAGTAGGAACCTTCACGCACTCATTGAACCTGGTCCTTAACCGCCTCATTTGTGTTCATAAACTTTGCGCCTGTCGCACTGACACCCTTCTCCTCCAAGGTTAGTCTTAAAGCTCTCATCTTCTCTTGGATCTAGACCCAAACCAGGCGGCGTTCTCTAATGGTCTGTGATTCAGCGATTCGCGGCAGGACAACCGAGGATAATTCAAGTGGTCCGTAAACCGAGGAGGAATGCTATGATTGGCTGAGAAGAAATCTGCAAATCGAACACTTTTTCGTTGAGCTCAGAAAGCGACTGCCTTGTTAAGCTCGAAACCCCGTGACAATCGCGTCTGTTGATCGTTGACATCACGCAAAGAGCCATACCTTCTCTCCAGTTACATCCTGGTGAACTTGAGATGAGCTGTGGACAAGCGAGTTTAGCGTTGGCGCCAACCTAGAAGAAGTCCCTATTGTACAGTGACCCATGCTGAACGTTGACGTGCCCTTTTGAAGAGGCCGTGCATTTCACCCGCATTCAAAAGCCATGCGCTGTAAGGAAGAAGTAAACCAGCCCTTTTGGCGTTTCTGCTGGTCGTATGCTGAATTTTGGAGAGGTGATGAGGTCCGCGAACCGGCCGACATACTACTTCAACTCGGTCCTCAAAATCGCCTCATTTGATGCTTACCTCAGGACTAAGCCTAAAGAGAAGGACGGACCTGCGAGAGAGCGCAGGTCCGTCCTCTCTTTAAGGCTTAGTCCTAGGGTAAGCAAACCAGCCCTTTTGGCGGAGCTGCTGGACCAGCTGCACCACTTGCGTCATTACTCTCCTACCGTACCGACCGAGTTGAAGTAGTTCGTCGACCGGGGGACCCCATCCCCTCCCCAACATTCAGCATACGGCCCCAGCAGAAACGCCAAAAGGGCTGGTTTGCTTACCTCCTGTAAGGAACGTAGTTTAACCTCTCGTTAGGAGGTTACCCAAGGCAGGACTTCAGGGCTAATGAAAGCTTTGACTGTGCCAAGCATAATTCAATCATGCGAGATTCATGCAAAAGCAGGGGACCGGCTTCAACCAATTCCACCCATATCGAAGCAGACAAGATCGGGATCTGTAGCAAAAAATTGAAGGCAGGTGTAGGAATGATCAATGAGATAGGTCAAAAAAATTCAATTACAAGAACAACACCAGTGGAACCTTCCCTCATATGATGGGCATATTTTTGCTAGACTTTTTCCTCTCTGCCCTTGCCAGACGCTCGTCAGCCGATCCGCGCTATATAAGTCCACTGAGACCACTGGCAGGCGAACACGCAAAAATGAACCAGACAATCCTATCGGCCGCTACGGGAATCTTGGCTCTCATCTTTCTCACTTCCACCGTCTGTATTGTCCAACTCGTCGTTGATCTCAGCTTATTTCACAAAGATGTCATGCATGATATGGAGGATTTCAGAGTGAGTCTATCCTACGCGTACGTATTTCGCCATTTCTTGGGCCCTCTGATGTACTATTACAGATTAATGGTTTATTCAGAGCACCGCGGACGACGCTTGGAAACTCATCATAGAATCAACAAGCGATCAACCAGAGAGACGTGAAAAACGCGGCCAAAGATCCACTCGTTGCCCACAGCTGGACTGCCCACCCGGTCCCAGAGGACCTCCGGGAGATCCCGGAGTACCTGGTATCGATGGCGATGATGGACAAAATGGACATCCAGGAGAGACAGGCTTGATTGCCGAGTATGACGGCATCAATGATGCTACAGGGTGCATCAAGTGTGCAGCCGGTCCTCCTGGTCCGCAGGGTCCTCCTGGACTCGATGGAAATCCGGGAAAAGAAGGCGGGCTTGGCATTCCGGGGCAACCAGGAAGTGATGGTAAGGTTGGACTCCCGGGACCCACTGGTGATCCTGGTGACGAAGGACTGATGGGACTTCCAGGATTACGAGGATCGCCAGGCAGGTCAACGAAGCGTAGGATATCGGCACCTGGTCCACCTGGACGACCTGGAATGCCAGGAAGACCGGGACGGCCAGGGAAACGAGGTGAGAACGGCCGTCGAGGTGCGGTCGGTTTGCAGGGATCACCTGGACGACCAGGCAACCCAGGAAGAGATGGTATGCCTGGAAATGCTGGGAGAGATGGACGTGCTGGTCCACCTGGAGCGGATGCAGGTTATTGTGCTTGCCCAAGTCGGCTGGAAAAACTGCTTGAATCGCTAGCAGAGAATGGTACAGTTGAGCACTCGACGGTGGAAAGTCCAACTGAATCGAAGGCAGTGAAAAGTCCAGTTGAGTGCATCAGCACTACTTTCTAACGATGAGCATGACATTGCTGATGAGGAAGATGTTAGCGGTGATGATGATCTTTTTGAATTATCAGGTGATCTTGACAGTACTGAAGATTTAGAACGCTAAAGTCTGTTCGCACTGTCAATGTTCCAAGCCAACCATAAATATTTGGTTCATTTAAGACATGGTAGTTCATATCTATTAGATTTAAATTCGAGCTTCGGTGAAAAAACAGGGTGTATCAGACGAGCGCTCGCAAGTGAATGCGCGGAATGAACCAAAACATTCCGAAAAAGCACGCAAGAACTAAACTACCAGAAACGCTAAAATGAGGTTTTTTTGGAGACCGCGAGAGCTTCCAAACTTCTCGTGGAAAAGAAGTGGGCCGTTATGTAACAGCTGTGACGATTGACCGTGACCTCAATCACAAAACACACGCATTTTCGTGCCACCCCCTATATATATTATATATATATATATATATATATATATATATATATATATATATATATATATATATATATATATATATATATATATATATATATATATATATATATATATATATATATATATATATATATATATATATATATATATATATATATATATATATATATATATATATATATATATATATATATATATATATATATATATATATATATATATTATATATATATATATATATATATATATATATATATATATTTGTTTGCAATTGCCGCCCAATCAATATACAAAAAGAGTTAGAATCTACTAGCTGTAATTCTAGTTTCAAGCGCGAACTGCTACCGGGAAAGGGGAACTGTCCGCAATTCAACTGCCATGCTTGGCACTACTGAACCATCTTCTCGCCGACGATGTTCAATGGTACACTTCCTTCTGAACACAGAAGGGCGACCATCGCGTGAGCCACGCTTAGGCCAACGTGCATCTGTAGTCGTCTTGTACGAACTACTGCACAACTGCTTTCCACACGGGGAAAGATCCACTCTTCAACTGGTGTGAAGAGAACGAAGCTCGCATCGGGCGACGCTTCGGAGTCAGGGGGAGCCCTAGCACGTAGAGTTAATCACCTAGTTGTCCGCAACAACCTCGGGAAAACTCCCCTCTCGTATTCCGAGAGAGACCGATCTGCTCACATCCCGTGAGCTCGGCAAAACTCCAGACTGACTGATCAGCTCGATCAGAAGACGGATCGACAGTAGATGGGGGGCGTGGCTTAGGTTTACGACCATAAGAGAGAATCTCAAGTACCTAAGGTTACACCTAGGGATACTAGTCTGCACCTGCATGCACTTTTACAACCTGCACGCGACGCGACCCCATCTCAATCCGAGATATCACTCACAAGTACGCCTAAACTTGGCACTGATACCAGGTAATCCACTGACTTATGGTTAAACCGCATATAGCTTGACATTTTGACCGCGCTTTAAGGAAGATCGGACGGTGGTACGATGGGCGAAATCAGGGCGATCAAAAGCTAAAACACGGCCAGCTCACACCAGTGGACGCGCCCGCTTTTGCGGAGCCTACGCTGATTCCTAATATCAATCGCGGTGGGTGGCGCAGCGGTTGCACACGGGGGTCGATCGGGATTAGCCAGCCAACGTGAGGATGTAGCGCCCTAATCGGAATTTGTCATCGACAATCGCTGCATGACACTGCGGGTAGACTGTACTCACAATTTTCCCTCACGATGTCTTCCCCCTCAGCCCGGGCCTAATCCCACGGCTTCCGGCTTTCAAGAGAGGTTGATGAGGTTTTCGATCAGTTTAAGCTCAATGCCACTCTGAGTATCTGATTCAATTCCGTAGTACCACTATAATTCTCGGCATACCTGTGGCTGCGAATTTTTGGCTCCCTCCTACGGACCTCCTATCGTCTGCTCCAGACCCATTGATGCCACTTTTTCAAAGCCTCAAACACAACATGCTCAATGAGCGAATCCGCACACTTTTCTTATTCTAACGCGCATTAATCGGTGAAGTGGTGTAGTGGCAAGTGGCACGCTTACCACGCGAGCGGTCCAGGGATCAAATCCTGGGCTCGGTGGTCACCCGGGCCTACTACAAGCCTTCGCATCCCTTCGGGGTTCGTTAAAGAAAACGACTTGCGGGGGCCCAGCCGATGTATCAAAATCCTTCTTTTTATAAAGCGCTAACTTTGTGTGTGTGTGTGTGTGTGTGTGTGTGTGTGTGTGTGTGTGTGTGTATGTATGTATGTGTGTCCGTCCGCAAAATGAAGTGAGTGAGAAGGAAGCTCATGGGATAAACAAACCGCTAACAAATCGGGTAGCTTACAGGATTTGAGATATCAATGTTTTGTAGCAGATAGTTGTGATAACACTCTTAGGGCTATATAAACACCTGCTTAGCACACTTCCGTTCATTCCACATGGTGCTGCAGTGGCAGCTGGAGGGCAGTGGAGAGAGGAAGGGAGGATGAGGAAGGGAAGCGAAAAATCTACCGTCATATCATGATTGTGTCCCTTCTACTGTATGAAACACCATTGTGTTGCATACGCGTCACTTCCAGGAGGTGTTGGTGTCACAGGAGGAAGGGACCATAGCGGAGGATAGAAAGCTTGCGCAGGAAAGGAAGGTCCCGGCGGTTGACGGGGGACTAATCTGGTAAATATAAAAAGGAATAAAAGAAGCAAATACAAACCTATTCGTGTGGGAAGATATGTGTTTTTACTGAAACAACCACGTCCAAATTAATTTTGGAACCACTAAAGGAAATTAAGTAAAATTTCCCTTTTCATGGCCTTAAACACACGTATCTTTTCGGTCGTACTTCCATTACTGTAACTCCCTGATAAGCTAAACAGATCGAACATTATTGAAACACCTTCATCGCATCTAAGTATTGCGTATTTACAGCTCAAAATCCATGGATTTGGTGTGCGGCGGCTGCGCTCGCAAAATCGCTCTTGTCCCACGCGGTGCAAAAGCACAAAACGCGCGATGTCGTCAACGTGTTAAAATAGGCTTTGGGTAACTAGTCCAGACATATGTCCGATTTTCAAACTTGGCATCTGTGCGAGGTACGCCTTGATGTAGCAAGATGCTATGAGAGCCGATAAGACTTCGGAGGGAGAGGAAATCAGGAGCAAACTGTTTTCATTTTTCCAGAAGTTCTTCCAGCTCTTCAGGCTTAGTCCTAGGGGTCGAGAAGAGTTTTGGGATTGCAATAAATAGTAGTATGACAAAAGAAAGAGTTTATTCAGAACGACATCTCATTTCTTTAGCAGAAAGAGAAGAATGCAGTGAAAATGAGAACAGTGCATTTCACGGGTGGTCAACACTGGCTGGCAGTGTTGAACTGATAGTGAGATTTTCGAGAACCCGTTAATTTTTTTCGGTTTAAACAAAGAAACACAACTGAATACCATCACTACATGGGGAAGGATACGAATGCTGTTCGATGAAAGTGGCGAGAAAAGACCGTTCCAGGTGATTAAGAGCAGAGCAATTCACGTCCCAATGGTTAGAGCAGTGAAATTCAATCTAGAGCTAAAATTGCTTCAAAAGTGCCAAAAAAAAACCTGTGGAGAAAGGGTCAGTTAGGCGTGTGAGGAGCAGTGGACGTTCACACGCCGTTGTGCTTGTAGGGGACTTCATCGTAAGGTAACGTGCTTTGTGTGCACTCAACTGCAAAATAGTTGATTTGACGTCTGTATCTGATTCGAAAGCGCAGGATACTGCTTCAAGTTAATTTTTTTGTTGTTGCTGTCGTTTATGGCTTTTCTAAAATTATTCAGGCATATTCAGACCACCATAATAGTCATTTGAGGTTATTTCAGACAATGAATCCCATTACCAATATCAAGAATCAGAATAAATTAAACGAACGGGAGATCCAACTGGGTATTGCCGGTGATCTAGGCAAGTCATGGCATCAAAAATACAAAGACTCTGCTTGGATCTATATTGGAGGCCTGCCGTATGACCTCACGGAAGGTGATATCATCACTGTTTTTTCTCAGTGAGTTCTTTTATTGGTTGCAAAAGTACCCTTTTAATTTTTTTCGCATTCTTTTAACTTGTGCTTGAATTTGCCCATTCCATTTAGCTTGTATATGAGAAAGCAATGAATAAATTATCAATTCAAAGGAAGTGATTATGATAAAGCTTGTACGCCCCGAGGAAGGATGCGCCACTCGAAGCAGTAGCTTGAAGCGATTTGTAGCACTTTCACGGCGAGAGGTGCGCTGGCTGCTGAACAAAACTTTAAAAGCGCTCTTTCCCAAAAGCGATCTTCCAACCTGTTTATGTAATGCGCTATCAATCAAACACTATGCTTGTTGGCATGATGGTGGCTATCGGGGTTAACACGTCCGAACAACGTCGTTCTTTACCGTCGCTCATCCATGGTCGAAAATGAAAGGGCAATCAAAGGGGTACTATTTTGCTTATTTTGACGGATTTCTCTGCTTTTTTCGCCATTCGCCATTTTTTCGCCATACTATGGGCACCCCATATCCCAATTACCCTTCCAAAACCTATCGCAATCGCTGCCTTTTATGCGAAAGCTATTTGTTGTTCTCCATTTCCATTTATTTTTTTGTTCTTCCATTTTCGTGTATTTCTAATATTTCTACTTGTAGATTTGGTGAAGTGATACATATCAATTTGCTTCGTCATGCAGATACGGGCAAATCTCGTGGTTTCTGCTTTTTATGCTATCAAGATCAAAGGAGCACCATTCTTGCTGTTGATAATTTCAATGGGATAACAGTGAGTCAAAGATATTTCGCCACATCCATGCTCAGCGTTTTGGGAGATCGGGAGATTGTTTGTCTAGAACTGAGGAGATTAGGGGTTTCGGCGAAAACAACAGCAGATACGTATTGCCTGGGAAAATAGGGGAATAGGTCACCAGTCAAATCATTCAATAAATACTGTCTGTATCTCGCCGTTTGAGTAGGCGTGTCACTGGACATAATGTGACGGCCACCACACTCGATGGAAGGGGCGTGGGTGAGGTGTTTTCAGCGTGTTTTCCTGATTACCAGCGAAGTATTTTGGAAAGAGCTCATCTGCTCGACTTCCTTAAGGGCTGCGGTCACCACATTTTTTCGCAGTTCCTAATTTCTCATTCTCCTGACCTTAAAATCTCCCACTCATTCAATGCATATCTCATTAGCTCCTGAACCCCTTGTCTCCAAAACGTGGAGTATGAATGCGGCCTCGCAAGCTGAAAAATATAGCTATGACAGAATTCGTTTTTCAGTTGTTGAAGCGAATGATACGAGTGGATCATGTTGAGCAATACAAAGTGCCAAAGTATAAAGAAAACGCGGATGAGGAAACGAAGAGATTATGGGAAGAGGGCTGTGCTCCTAAACCTATTCAAATAACTGAAGCTGGTATGTGAAAGGGTTTTCGTCCATTACTGTCTTTTAGAGGTTATGTGGATCTCATGCTTGGCAATTCTGCAGAAATTCCTCTCCCAATGTTAACGTATCATCAATATGTTCTTTTCCGCTATGCTTCCTTATTTAGTTTCCGATCAAAATATCAAATAAGTATCTCTTATTATATTTTATAAATTTGAAAGAATTTGTAGATATGAAGCAATCGGATGAAGAAGAGGAAGAAGCAGTGAAGAGCAAGATCCTTTCTCTGAAGGTGGGTTCCCTGCTACATCAAACTTATGTTTTTATATAAAATTGCATACCATATAGGAAGACGAAGAGCTCCGTGAGTTGAAGAAAAAAATCAAAAAGGATCGGAAGAGGGAAAAGAAGGAAAAGAAGAAAAAAACTCTTGGAAAGTTCTGAACGCGATGTTAATGCTGATTGGAAGGATCAGTCGAAGTTCTTGGACAAGTTGGTTAAGGTGGGTGGTGAACAGTTCTTTTTCTTGGGTTCTTTAGAATTTTATGGATTATGATTAGAATTAGTTTTCGATGTTCCGGATAAATTGTACAGTCGATATCCGAAAGTTGGGGTGGGTGTGTCACCGGAAGTGACGTGCACTTGATAGAAGTTGCGTGGATAAGCTGTTGCCAGCATGCTTTGCTGATATCCAGCGATGTATGTTGGAAGCAGCTTATCCACATAGTTTCTATCAAGTGCACGTCACTTCCGGTGACACGCCTACCCCAACTCTCGGATATCGAGTATATGACGTAGTCCATAATTATTCGTTAGGATGATGAGCTCTATGGACAGAATTCCCATTTCAACTTTGGTAAGAAGACTGAAGCGGCTGAAGAACCTACCCACAATCCTCGCCCTGACTTTGAAAAGGTACTAAATGAGTAAAGGTAAAGAAAGATGATGACTGCTACGTGATGAACTTTTAGGCTGATTGGCGTGATATCGAAATATGGAAGGAGATACGCGAACGCGAAAAGGCCGAACAAGCGCCAAAGAAGGTTGATTGGAAACCCGAAGAACACTACGTCTCTAGTCGATATCGTTGAATGGTTCTTTCATATTAGGTGTTACTTGTTTTTACTCGTTCCTCGTTACCTTTGTTTTCTTTCGTGGCTTTGTCAGCGCGTATTTCCCGAGATGGGGGGGGCATCTGCTTGCCAGCCTACCAATATAGCAATAAGTTCCTCTTGAGGCGAATGAGCTTCCGCAGAAGTCAAACTAATTCAGTTCAGTGGATGTGGAAGTGAGCCACTGGGTAACCTTTAAAGTTCCACTCTTTTCAAAGGAACAATCGACAAATGGGTAAGCGAGGTGATGAAAGAGAACTTATGAGCTGCAGCACAAATTCTAAACGACGAAAGTATGGCTGATAAAACAGACGATGTGGTGAATGAATTCGTCACTGAAATTATTTGTATTGCTGCTTCAAACGACCTCAGAAATAAAATGTGAAATTCTTATTTTACCACGGGTTTCCGGGAAAGTTCTTTTTTCTTTATTCCATTCAACCTTACGTACCCCTGTGGGTTCATGTCTGGGCATCATACGTCACACATGCCTTATCTTGGAATCAACCTCTTAATCTCGTCAAGGCACCGCTAGGTATCGTTGGTGTATACTTGGATCTTCAATCATTCATCGCGACCTTCATTGTTAGCTACTTCACAGCCATCCTCGCAAAGGCTTTTCGTGCAGTTGTCTAGATGTGTCCCTGCGATTCTTATGTATATGCTGTATATACTGCGCGTGATATTTTTTACTAGATTTTCGATAAAAGAATCATACCTATGGTTGTGTGGGCGACGGACTTTTAGCTCGTCCGGGATGGCACGCGGCAAATTGCCGCGAGGGATTGTGACGAGCAAATCTTTCGCGCGGTTTTTGCAGCAGAAATTAAACGTCACAAAGCGGGGGTGCAGATCGCCCGGAAAAAAACCATACGGTTCTGCTATTTGATTAATATTTCACGCATGGAGTTTGGAGGTACAAGCTGTGATGCTAAAAAAAATTGCAAAGGGAAGAGTTGTGAAGAAGCTAACATAGTTTGTTACGACGTCGGGGCGTCAACTGGGGGATAATATACTGCGCTATAGACACTAAGGTTTTGGGAGGAGGATATGTTCTATTAGAGAGGATGGGAGCATTTGCGCGACTCAACGATGTTTCGCCTTCTCCTTAAAACTTAGCCTATATCACTTCACTCGGCCATCTTTCTAATGTTCCCACAAGACAGTGATCGACCAGCAGAGATACGGTGGTACGCATATAACTCTTTTCTCAAAGAGTGTGGCCTAACTTATGCATTGTATTTGTATTCCTTCGATGATAGCAAGTGAATATCTATGAAGGTCTCTTTTTTTATCAATTTGCGCTCACGCTTACCGACGCCACTGTATTCAGAAGCCTTCAAGAACGAAACGTTTTTTCAAAGTCGGCAGAATGGATGCGAGTTTGTCCAAATGTGTTCACGCTTTGACGGCTGCGGGAATTCTATGCAGAACACCTTGGTTTATGTTTGAGATCGCCGCGCAGCCCGGCGTGTGGATCGCCGCTGCAGCCTGGACAGCAAAAAGTCCGCAACCGGTTGGGACTGGTGGTCGTCTGTTGTGCGATTTTTTGCTCATTCTTTCGCAGTTCTGGAGTAAGTTAAGGCAACACCCACAGATCAGATTTGTGGGTCACAGCGGTCGATAATGGAGTTACAAGCTGCGAGTTGATTAAAATGTAGATCAAACAAGAACCCGTCGATGAGAGCCTTTAGACAAGCTGCCTTTTTCCCTTGATTGAAAAAATAGGCCAGGGCGAGATTTCTCGTCTCTAATAACGCGCGCTTATTTGATTTAGCCGCGTACGTGCGTACTCCACGTGGTAATCTGGTAATGTGTGCACGAGTCTCTCTCCATACCACAGAAATAGTCCATGTTCGACTCTCGATGAAGCTTAGCATATTAATAATGCAATTTCATTTTTTATTACATTTTTCCTTCTTACCTGAGCTCTGGGGCTGCTTTCGCTGATCTAGGAAGGTACGATACTTTATCCGGTTATTAATTGAGTAGTGATTTAGAAGGTTTTGAAGATCTCGTAAGTTAGGAAGACATTTTGTCGAATAAGTCATGTACGTAGCTTCAGAACAACGCTATGTTTTTCGCTGAGTCAAGATAGGCAAGGACATGGCTATCAATTAAGGTGGATAGCTCAGCAAGTCTCAGATCTCGAGGGCCAGGTTCGCCGTCATTCAGAGGGTCGGTTTTATAGTATATTTTAGCCTGCAAAAAAATGGTGACAGCGATGTCGTAATAATTGACTGAGACTTGCAGAATGGAACTGAAATGGCAAGGAAAGCAGCCAACGTGAAATTCATTGGAAAATTAGGGCCTTACCTTCAGCAAGGTCAGGTATGGTACGAAGGCGAGGAAGGCGATCAAAGACAGAACATACGAGAGAGCCACGTGATTCACATTTAAGCGCGGCTGGAGTGGCTCGCAGCGTCCTGCAACGGGGGTCGATAGTTAGTCATGGCCTCGTGAGTATAGTGCCCTTAATCGCGCAATTTGTGGCGACAAACTTGATATTTCTATGAGGAGAGATCAATTTCCCCTCGCGGAATCCTTCCTACTAGTAGGGTAATGTGCGAGGCTTGCATCAAGTGCATGGTCAATTACGCTACCGAAGTTTTTGCTCATTCATATGTAAATCATTGTATCGCGGCAACCTAAAGCGAAGAGAGGTCAACCCATTTGAAATGAGGTGTATGTTTCCATACGCGCCTTGGAGCACTGAGCAAAGCAGTTTCTCTTATCTGCCGAACTCGTCTTTTGAACGGGAGTTATGAGCAAAAAAGAAGCCAGCCTGTAGTGGGTCTGGACTAACTAGAAAAAAGCCGTCGTAGGAATTCGCACGTTTTGATGAGCTTGCTCTTCTTGATCATGACATGTTCAGAAAGAACATCAACTTTTAGGTTCCACGCATGCGAATAGTGTCGATGTAAAAGAATTTGGAGACAGTTTCTGAGCAAAGTGGACGTAACATTGTTTCAATGGTGCGCAGGGGGGGCTTTATACGCGCACGGTAGTCAAGTTTGGTTTCGTTCAACAGTACTCGTCAGACTCGTAATCGCGGGCAGTCGAAAATGGATCTCCTGGCAACTTGCCTAGCCAATTCCAATTTTTCGAGCCCACTCCGAGGAATCCGGGCAACTATTCACCGACGCTATCGCAAATTAGTGGCATTTTGTCTAAACGTGTGCATTCCGGTCAAATCGTGGTTACATATGTACTTCCTTATACATATTTCAGGCATAGAAAACGTCCACCCATATTTATTCTAGCCTAATGGCAGCGGTTTCATTCCTGAGCTTTCCGCTGTTTTTTTTCCTATTTCGTCACATCTAATTGTTTTGGGCGATACCGCAGATATGGGGCATCCTCTAGGACTGAGCCCTGGAGGGGCGGGAGCCATGCAATCTGGAGCTCTGCTTCACCCAGAAGGTAGAACACGCTAGGCTCAGCCGGGATACGACCCCCACATAAGGAGCGTGGAACCCATTACTTGCCACCGCGCGACCACTTCTGGAGGAGCTGTGCTTTCTTTTGCGTTTTTCACAAACGAATCTTTATTATCCGAACGACAACATTCCAACATAATTTGTCGCTCAAAAACAGTAAATAATATAGTATTAGTAAGTAAATGCTTGAAAGAGGAAACATGAAGGCCATAAAATTTCAGAGCACTTTCAACAGACCGAAACATTAAAAAAGTGGACTATGTTCTCTAGTTCCAAATTCAGATGCAATGATACAACCAGAAGGAAAATGAATCAGTTAAACGGATAGCTTACTGCTATGGAAGTAAACTGGCATCACGGGTGAGAGTCTCAGATGCGATCACCGTTAAGTTCTTGAGCTTGTTCCAGGTCATTATTGCTAGATTCAGACAATCTCAATCCTAATCAAATCTCTAGAAGCATTACAGTATCTTGAACTCCCAAAAAAAATAAAACAGAAGGCAAAAATGCAAAGGCCACCTTCGCTATAACTAAGTACCCTTGTTGATCGCTCCTCATGTGATGAGGTTCCAAATAAGAACTGCCCTGTTTAACAATAACAACCTGGCGAGAAGCGATTGGAAACGTTCATACGATACGGTCAGAAAGACAATGAAACAACATGGCCATTCGAGCGGATAAACTAAGTAATAATAATATATAATCAAGATAACTTTGAAAAATGCCAATTTTCTGTTAAATAACCAGCCAGTAATCCAATAAAGGAGATTATAAAGGGGAAAAAAAGCTGAGCAGTCGCATCCCTGAGTTAGTTCATACTGGACGAGGACGTGGCGACATTCTCGCGCCTGTGTTGTTCAATTTATAGCAATTCGATGCATCGCGTAAATCAGATATAACAACATCTACTAATCAGCATGGCAACCTATACGAAAAAAAGTTCACAAGAATTCCTAAAGCTTGATTAACTGTGGCCGCAGAAGTAGAGCTACATATGTTGAGTGGTCAGCTTTCGAACGCGCCATGCAATCGTCACTGAATCAGAATTGTGGAGGTGATTGCAAGAGTAAAAAGGGCTTCCATCGAAATGCCCCTTCTGATAGATGGAGTCAACAACACATAGTTGAACCAATGGACAAGCGCCTTTTTGGCCGTTGCCTTCCTGCTCCCCAGTTTTTCGTCCCCAGATGGGTATCATTTTATACAACCAATCGATCGAATACATCAAAAAGAATAAGAGAAAGCTCCGAATTGCGCACTGGCACGTATGGAAGCACCGCTGGGTTTACAAGTGCTTCGCTTTGCATTCTGTCTGTTCAGCTTCTTCACGCAATAAATTCTTGACACAAATTTTTGGTCTCACGACGAAAACTATGAAGTTGCGCTATCGGTCTTGCTTTGGCGTGGTGGATCGAGTCCGCGTAACTCGTCACTGTGCTTTACGACTTCTTTGTGATTATTCTTGGCGAATCTGTGTCGGACAATCAACAGCGACAGGAATCGTTAGCCATATTTACAAATATTGTCGTTTGTTCATAAATTAACCTACTATTGAGTCAGTTTATGCAGCCGACTAGTGGACAGCAGTTGCTACCAGGACATAAAAGATGAGGATAGAGGAAACAAGTTTTAATGCGTTGTCAGGAATGCCGCAGATTCCTCAGAGCAGGACTTGGCACGACCCTCCTGAAACAGAGCATACGCAAAATTACAACAGCCGAGTACTGTATCGATCAACGGTCGATTCAACGCGCAGCTGCGGCGCGATTTGTCCCTGGGTCAGATTTGCTGAAATCCCGGCATACTACACTGCGTTCAATAATGATACAGCCACCTAAAATTTGTTCGAAAACTTAAAGTTCATAGAGTTTCTGGGAATCTGTCCAGATAGGAAATGTGACAAATTTCATGGCGAGTTCAGATACGAACACAAAAATCCATGTCGAAAACATTGAAAAATTTTGTGCTTATTTTTTCAGAAGAGGTCGATTTTCCTATGTTCAAAAATGATACAGCCACCCCGTGTTTCTTCGTTGAAATTCATTTTTGCTTCATGAAACTGATTCGCAGTAATCAGGCTTTCACCTTAATGTTCCCACAAGATAAAAAAGACAGTTTGGTTTTGAAAAAGGTAAACTGTAGCAAAAGAAAGGACCAGGAATCGTCAAGCAGTCATATTCGCGCGAAATGAGTCAAAGCTCCAATACGGTTACAATCTTTTCTGGAATCCTGTAGGTTATGGAACAAGCGAAGAGCTCTGGATGTTCATCATTGCTTTTTGGTCAATTTAAACTTCGCATTTTGGGAAACATTTCAATTTCATCGAACAGTGCCCGGAATTCCAGTCTTCTTTCAGAATTAAACTTTCAATGGATATTGTTTGGGATGTGTTGAAGAATTTCCGAGGTCATTCTTCAATGGAGAATTAAAGAAACCTTGTTTGTGAAAAGAAATTCTCTCGAAAACTGAGACATTTTTTGCTCGAAAGTGTAGCCACGTCCACTGGAGCGAAATCAGTTCATGAGTTGCTACTATCAAATTATAGGATTTTGACTTGTTTTGTTTGTTAACTGCTGTTTTAACGCCGCAGTTCGCGTTGCGAATGTTTCACAAGAATGCTGGGTTGTGAACAAAACTTTCGCCCCAGGCGGGACTAGAACCCGCACCTCTCGCTTTCCGGGCAAGTGCGCTACCAGTTACGCTACCGGGGCACCATTTCATTCCCAACTTTTCAAGCTATGGTACGTATACCATGAAAAGCTGAGTTGGGATGAAATGGTGCCCCGGTAGCGTAACTGGTAGCGCACTTGCCCGGAAAGCGAGAGGTGCGGGTTCTAGTCCCGCCTGGGGCGAAAGTTTTGTTCACAACCCAGCATTCTTGTGAAACATTCGAATTGCTCTGAGAGCCTTCATTCGAAAAGATGTAGTCTCTCAAAATCCATCGAGGGATGCTAAAATTTTCCACGCTCTCTTTGCCAAACGGCTAGAGGCTCAGGCACGAGGCGCCGCGGGAAGATCATGCTAGATCGCCGGGAGCGTATGCCGTGAATTGCATGTCGGTCCGCACTCTTAGGGAGCCTGTCTTTCCACTAAGTGAGTTTCCTTTTCTTCGACTTCGTCCTCACCGTGGAATCCTCCTTCACGGATGAAAGCAGGGGTAACAAGTGATTCGTCGGAGAAAATAGAAATCTAAGGGAGCACAGCCAAATAGTTCATGAACATCTGTCTGTGTTTTCAAAAATAACATTACATACCGTCAAGTACTTGAAGTGTTCTCGGAGCCTCCTTTGGTTTCACCAACGCGTAGAACACTACCAAACCGCTGGCAACCACCGCTACACCAGTAAATGTTACCTGAAAATAGGGTGATTATTTTGCATCAAATTCACATTCTGTAATTGATTAGGCGAGGAACATTGTGCTGGAAAATTAAAACAGTTGGGGTATTTGGGTCGATCAATGATGAATAGAGCAAACAAAACTAGGAATCATTAGAATCACATTGTTGCTCCGAGGGTCATTACCTAGATCAGCGCGTTCCTGGCCGTTTCCTGGTCAGCCTGCTTCTCTAATATCTATACCAATGATCTCAAATCAACCAAGTCAGTCATTCTCTAACAACACAATCACTTCCATTTTAGAGCAATAAAGCATTTTATCGTGTAATGCACCTCCAGGTCCAATTGGAAATGGATCGTTGAGACCTACTCAGACCTCATCATCCCTAACTTCCTCAATACCAACATTCTTATTCTTACAATAGACTCGAATGTCGCCATAACTGTCCGGGGTGTGTCAGGGTTATAGCAACTCGTTGAAGAATTCACGAAAAAAATCATGACTCTATCCCATAAGCACTGGCTTGAAGCTCATCATTCACGATAGGAACAAAAAGAACATGAAAATTGTGTTCGTTTTCGTGAAATTTCAGAAGAAAAAAAACACGAAGGACCGCTAAGCGTTCGAAATCCCGCCGCACATCCGTCACAAATTTGGCGACGGGAACAATTCCATTTGGTTTTGAGCGCCTTCACTAAAATTCCCTTTGGTCTTTTCCATTAATGGCAGTGACATTTCTCTTTTCTAATGCATCCTGTTCTATCGATATTCTTGTCCCTATTCTTCCGAATTCGAACGCTTTAACCTGATTCTTCCAATGCGTCACCTAATAAGTGGCCGCCCCTAAGGGGAAATGCTTCCCACTTCCGGGGGTTCCTCTGTTTACGCCCAACCTACCCTCGACCTCAAATAGAGTGGGATTTTCGCAGACTTGTTTCTCTTCAGAGAGTCTTCCCGCGGGACACTTTATCTCGTTTCCTCTAGCGATTACAACGGACATATTCATAATGGGTAACTCAAGAGCTTCTCGGGACGGTTCCTTCGTTTGAAGTGAGTAGATGTCAGAAGTGAACGATCTAGTTCAAACTTTGGAAGTTGGTAGGGGGGCGCCCGTAAAAAAGGGAAAACGATCGAGTGGGCACCCACCCTACGTCTCTCTCGGGGCCGAGTTTAATCCAGCCCCATGGGGCCTCGAAACACTTTTATTCACAATTGAAAGGAAAAGAGTGACCAAAAGAAAAGATGGAGAACTTACCACGCTCCTCGACGTAAACGGTACAGAACAAACCGACACTTGATTTATCAAGAAAAAATGACTCAGGGAGATGAGGCTACTTGATTAGTCTTGCAAAAAACAATTGTAATTAGCAAGTAAGTAACTTGCAGACAGTTAGGGCTCGTCGCACTACGCAAAAAGTCGTCACTCAGCGCACGCGGCCAGACGGGACCGAATTACGCAGCAATCTCGAAAGGACAGCTTAATGCGGCAGATAACACATTTAAAGGCAATCCCCGGGATTAGCCCGACTAGTAGGAGGGATTCCACGGGGGAAATTGTAAGGTCCGTACGTAACTGGATCACTCCAGCTTCGTCGCAAAAACTGCGCGGTTAGGGCGCTAGTCCTTACGGGCCCGCAACCATCGACCGCCGCGAGAGGTGGTGAGATCAGCGTGCATTGATGTAGAGATCAGTGTGCTCTCTCAAACGACGTGCTCTCTCGCGTATTTTGCCTTCTTTGACCACCCTTTCTCGCCATCGTACCACATTCTACCCTACTGAAGGTTAAGGCCTTAATTGCAGCGTTCCCAAGGATTTCTCTTGCTTTCCTTTCCACTTTCAGGTCGTTCCGCAGCTAAGCTATCACCACAAAGCGCTGATAGCACCTGTTTAATCCCGGAGTTGCCTTTAATGCAGCTTGGCCAGAATTAACGAACATCTCAGCGTCACACAGCATTTGCTTACCACGCTTTGGGAAAGCGTTTGCCCTTTCTGGCTTGCCCCACACATTCCACTTTCATTCACAGTCGTAGTGGCATTGCAACTCAACCCACATAGAAACTTGCGCGGTTGCAAAGACCAGAGACCAACCATGTTCACATGCCCCTGTTCTTGTCCTTCTGGCAAAATGATATAAATTATTCAAAAGGAATGGAAGGCTTGTTTGACCAGTGCAAGATATGATCCCCCATTTTCTGCATAATTGCCACCAATATGCATGGCGCCCTCCCGCCACTACGCACTGCTACTCACACTCTGTGTCTGAAGTAATCCTACCACAAGCGGCACCGAAAAACATCGCTACTTCTCATAGGATTACCACAGGCGGGAGTACCCAATTTCGACAACCAATACGAACCTTCCCCTCCCTCCAACCCCACCTGGGGTCCTACCCGCGCCCCATCTCCATAAAAAAATTTATTCTGTCTTCCTGAAAATACACTATCCTCCAAGAAATCAAGCAAACCATAATTATTGGGTTGTCCCATAATTCCTGTCCGAATTTCGACACTTTTTTCTCATCGAGTTTTATCTTTCCCAAAACCAATTGATCAAAAATATAACCATTATCATAATCACTGATATGCATCCATTTGCTAGGAAACCTTCGGATGCTTTCCTCCAGAATGAGTGAAGCTAGGACTCGAAGAACTGGTCGAGGTCGTTTTGAGGTGGTTGTATTCATTGACTTTTTTCTCTCGCCTCTGCTGCTTCGCGGCAAAGCAAAGGGGATAGCCCGATGGAGTAATGCTATATGGGCTATATGATAGATATAATACTATTTCCCTCAAAAAGTGGCGAGTTATCTTTGAAATGTGAAGTCGGGTGTTCATCTGGAGAAGAGGGATTTGGAGACGTTTAGGACGGTTCTCTCGCACTGCTGCGGCCAACCCTGGAGCTGTTCCACGATGGCATTCGCAATACTTGTCCGCATATAGCAAAGCGGTTATGAAAACGGAACACCCACTCAATCTAACAAATCAAGAACAACATTCTCTGACCAGGGAGTTTGGGCTTTGGTTGAGCTGGCGAGCCTTGGCTGCGAGTGCCACGTCTTGTTGCCATGGTGGACTCATGACTCATCTTTATTGGTGATCGGCTAGGAAAAATCCCGTCTAAGCGGCAGCAAGAGAAGACTTCCGCAGATGGTCAGATGTGCTTCTCGGTCATGGTCGGTCGGTGCATGCGGTTTCCATCGAGGCTTCATTCTGCTGCAGCCGTTTTCATTCAGATGGCGAGCGATGGTGCATCGGCTTGTCCAGGTGCCTGCAACAAACCCTGGTAGTAGCGTCCGTGTGCACTTCCAATCCATGGCGCAAGGGGTCCTCATCGAAAGTGAGTGGAGGCCCAGGATGAGGCTGATTTCACAGCTCGTATTGTCTTTGCCATTGCGACCGAACCACTAGCTCAGTGACCGATCAGTAGCAGAGACTGAGCCAAACACAGCGCTGATCTTCTCTAGTGTCCTCCTTGCAACAGCGTCTATTTGAGGATCGTAAAGCATAATCGTTCGTTATTGTCACTGATCTATTTCGACTTCTACTCAGTTATCCGATGCGGGTTTGACCTTCCAAAACGTCCTGGCTAACGGTCTAGATGCACTCTTTGACATACCAACATATTTCGCAATGACACTAATTCGACTTGAAGAAATTTGAATTTGATCAAAAATCGGACAGGAATTATGGGACAATCCAATAAATCCCCTTACCGCCTCTTTTCAACCTACTGATCCCACAAAATGCAATTCTTCCTTCTTGCTCAGAGCAAAACACGACACTCTCCGTTCGTAAGCGGCAAGAAACTCTCGACGTAAGCTAACCCTTAATTCAATCTCAATCGGAATTAAGCGCAATTCGGCATCCGAGCTATCACTTTGCGATCAATATGCATACTTTTCTTAGGGACACATGACCATCTAACGCGTTTGCGTTTCCATCTGGAACTGAAGAAAGCTGAAAAGTCCTACTTTCAGAAACGGGTATTTTGTTGTAGCGGATGTAGAGTAATGCAGCTACCGTAACCACTTTCTGCGACCACATTACAAATGTCACATAGTTGATCAACGTATCAATATCGACAAATGACATGGCAAATGTGCAGATCGCCTGAAAAATCGACAATGAACCAAAATTAATAAGAAACTGCCGTGATTTCCAATAAATTTCGGCACCTGGCCCAGTAGTGCCGCTCGGGGGCTGTTTGACGCCTCATGACGGCAGCTCATACATGTTGGTAGATGACCTTCACGTGCAGCTGCATGCATGAACCTAAAAAAAGGACCGATAATTAATCATTGAAGGCATGTTCCGCGCGACTCTTCCATGAATAAGGTAGCTAGTTCCGCAATCGCAAAATGCAATGCCACTTTAGTGACGAAAACGTGTGGCACTGATGGCCCACAGCTCGCATCAAGGCCCACTCCTTTGAAAATGCTGTTGTGTGTATCTCACACACCCCCTGCGCTTCGCTTTTCCACGTCTGTACTCTCGCAAAGGGGCTCAGTTCTATGACACTCTCTCCCGCAACCCGTTCATAATTCAGACTAGGAGGAGATTAGAAGATCCTAATTTTCAGTGCCTACGCCGGTGTCTATTTCTTCTTTTCAACAATGGCAGTCCACCTTGCAACTCTGTCTTAAAGCAACAGCGCGGATGAGGTCGTGTGGGATAAGCTATTCGGAGGTAGGATGAAGTTGCCCACGAAGGTTGCATATGTGCCGTTGTAGCGGCTCAGAAATGCGCGACAGTGGTACTTCAGCCCTATGAAGTAGGCTAATGAGCGCAAATGAGAACTAATGGACGAGGTATCTCGCGCATCCCCGTGGTATGCAATGTGGATTTCGACGTGGCGAATAATTTTAATACGCGCTGTTTAATGGAACCATGAAGTAAGCAAATTCAGGATACTCGTCCCAACACGCCCATTCCTCATCTCTAGGAAGGAAGAAAAGAAGCCCTTATTAAGGTCTTCATTAGAGTTTCCTTTGCCTTTATTCATCAGTCGAAGCTATATTCTCACCGACGGCCGTTGCCTCACCAATTTGACCGGGGTTGTTGCTTCAATTCCCGAAGAGTATTGACCACAGTAACGCGACCACAGAAATTGCATTGCACAACGACTCACCGTGATCCACAGAAGAGGTTGCTGTTCAAGGTACCAATTAACAATAACGCTACCATAAACGGAATGGCGTAGGAGAAGTTCCCCAAGGTTTTCTGAGCAAAGTCCTGAAAAAAACTGCAGTAACTATGTCGTACATTTTTTTCCAAAGAGCTGCTCAGCACGTTTTATTTACGCT